GACCAATAAATGAATATTTCCATTACATACAATTTTTATTTTTAGCCCAATTTTAACCTCAAACTTGGATGAAAGGTGACCTGGTCACTAGTTATACGTTAATTATCAATACATCTTTTTTTTTTTAATATATGCTTTCTTTTTTAACAATGCTTTGGATCCCAATAAAATTTTCCATGTAGCTCCACAAAATGTATCTTTTAAAAGTATTAAGAAGCTCTGAGCTCTGGAAAATTCATGAACCGAGGCCCCATGTAAATCCCAGGTGTTGATAATATTTAAGCTTGAAGGGGATAGGGAGAGGTTTAGGTCAGTATCAGCTTCTTTTCCTATGAGAACATGGTGTGTAATGACAAAAGGCGACATCATTCAAATGGGAAGAACAAATCTGAGAAGTGACCCTAAAGATCCCAAAATAATTGAAGGGGGAGGTTTCTGGGGTCAGGAGGCTTTCAAAGTGTCAAAGGGCTTTGGTTGGAAAAACTTTTGGTAGATGTGTTATTTCTAACACATCCTTCATATGTCAGCAACTACCTATTTTTTCAAATTGCTCATTACCAAGGACAATCTGGTTTCTACTGAAGTCTGGTTACGCGGTTCCTGCAAAATGTCCTCTCGTGGCTCAGCGACCCTCCGCTTACAGGCCCCACCTCTTCACTTCCCGCATTCCATTATCTAGTCTTTACCTTCACTTTGGACTCATTCTGTGGTTTACCTTACCAGACAAAACAAAAAAGGCAGAATAAAGAACGCTGAATAATCAAAAAGGAAAGAAAGGCTGAAGAGTGGGAAGGTTTACACAGTAGGAAAAATGAAAAAGGGCAGAGAGTGTTAACAAAGAGGGAGTTGGGGGTGCGGTGGGTTTTAATGGAAAACTCTCTTGCTAGCTTTATTGCCTTAGGAGAGTGACCCAGTGGTGGCTCGTTACTAATATTTTACTTTACGAATAGCTGCTCCTGAAAACTCTATTAGTAAACCTTCCTTCCTTTCTCTTATGTGCTAATAGGCATATTATTCCCATGTCAACAGATAGGATTTTCTTGCACATGTTCCTGAAAGAAAAAAATCATCCTCCCCATCATGTGGAAATATAACCCATGAATTGTGGGGTTTGAACTGGCTTCATATTTCAGCCTGTGCTATGCACACTTTAATTAGTCTCCCTTACAGATAGAGATAGTGGTCTATAAATGCATTATTAATGTAGAATATTTCCCTTGTTTTTATAGGCCTTGCCAGAGGCCATATTGAATTTAAAGTTTTGGTTATTTCTGAGTCAGGAACCTCATATACATCTGGATAAAAGCCAAACTTTTAACGCTGATTCTTAACTTAGCAGGATATTTTATACACATTAAATTTTATTCCAAAAGGTCTCAGCCATTGAAAATGTTTCTTACTACTCACATACACTAAGACTAAACTTTGAGGGATCATTGTCAGTCATTCTACTGAAAGGCTGCTATTAATGATTCATACTTTCTGTCCTGATTGTGTTTTGGGATAAAGATGTTTGTTTTGTCTATAATCAAGAGCTCTCTCCTTGAAGAAAAAGTGCAGTGCTTGAAAATTAAAGCCCATGGTTACTCTAGATATGCCGTATTATCTAAAAGTGTTTGCTGACCTCTTCAAGGGTTCATAGGCCCACAGAAAAGTAAGATTTTCTGCCATAATAAATTTATTGAAATATCCAACAATGATACATAATGTGAGATTAGAAGAATTATAATAATTGAGAATTAGAGCATAAAGAGACCTTTCATTCTCATTACCTACGCCTATCATTTTATAAATGTGGAAATTGTGCACCAGAGTGATCAGAATGATTTCTCTGGGACTAGTGCGTAGTCTCCAACCTGGAAATCATGGCTTTTAGTTCAGGGTTCCGTCTTCCATGGACTTCTTATTCATAGTCTTCAATGAGGAAGCACTTTTCTCCAGTTTTATACTTCCTTTGTCAATGATTTCTACCTAGTTATCCAGGTGCTCTCAATATTATAAGGTTATGAGAAAGGAAGAGCAGGAAAAAATTAGTCTCAACATGGTTGTCTCACTTGGTGCAATAAATCCATGCTATTAAGCCAATAAAAGATAGATCGACTGAGTCATATATCTAAGGAAAGGGTAACTTGTCATTACCAAAGGTAATTCTTTTGCAATGTTCATAATTGTTTAAGTTGGGATTTCATATACTGAGTCTGTCTTTCTATATTTATGTGTAGTTGGAGGAGGATCGAGGAGGAATAAATAATGGACAACCACAGAATATAGAAAAAGAGACATTTTGGAAGCAGGCAGTCCTTATTGAAGGTGTCAGCTCCTCTGTTTGCTAGCCATGTAACCTCAGAAAAAAATCACCTAACATTGCCTACACAGTCATGAGGATTAAATAAAATTATAAACATGAAAACACTTAGCACAGTCCTTGGCAAATATTCGGAGCTCAATAATGGTAGTTTCCCTTTCCGGTAGTGTTTATAACATAATTTAACCGACAAACCACCGGCTCCCTGTTGTTTTTAGAGGCCCCATGGTAGTCACTCCAGAGAAAAAGAAACGCATGTCACCCAGCGTCACCAGCTTTGTGATTTTCATGAGCTAAAATAATGTTTAATGATAATATTTTTTGAAACTCATTACAACCGAATGCACTTATAGATGGAATGTGGAATTTCCAACTGGGGCAAGATTATAATATATAGTGATCTAGAGAAGTTAGGGCTTTGTAATGGGACTGTCAATTCAGAGCCATCTTTCAAAGTTGAGAGAGGTAGAGGGGCACTGCATTGCATTTGCATTGTCTACCTCCTAAACCTCTCTTTAGTCCGTCTTCTCGTTTCTATTCAGTCATTTCCTTCTAATTTAGAAGTCATTTCCCTCTGGACTTTTGCCAAGACATGAAATTGGTTTTCTGCCACCACTCTCCTGCCTTCAAATCTATCGTCCATGATCTCTCCAGAAGGATCTTTTACAAACTTAAACCTGATTCCCTGCATCTTCTTCTTAAAATGACCCTCACACCCCGCAAGTTGAAGTCCAAGATCACGGGCATACTATCCAAGATTGTGTGTTAATTAGCCCATGCCTATCACAGCAGTGTCATTCATCACATCCAGACTTTTCCTGTGTTCCAGTTGTGCCTAGCAGTGGACTTTGTACCCCAATAGAGTACAGAAACTCAAGGTTCTGCACATTTGTACACACTGTTTTCTTTTGCAGGGATACCTCATCATCACCACCTCCCTCTATTTCAGCTTGACTAACTTCTGATGGTCTTTCAAATACTCGGTCAAGTGTTATTTTTTCTGGCAAGCCTTCTCTCACCTTCCCGTCAACATTAAGTATATGTTCTACTAATTTCCTCTTGGGAACACATGGGCCTCTTCTACACAGAATTGTCGTTGTTTGTTTGCTAAAAGCACCGTCTCAACTTGACCATGAGTTTGATGCCAGGGAAGCATCATTGTGTCCCCAACATCTGGCACAGCCTTATCATTAAAAAAACATATATTAGTTTGTGGATTCATTCACAGTTAAAACTGCTGTTATGTGGTCCAAATGAAAAGCTTTGTGATTCTCAGGCTTTGGTCAGGATAGGTGATCACACGACATTCATTCCTTTGTGAAGCAGTAAGATAAAGGTCAGTCCTAGATCTTAGTTAGAGCTTGGAGGGATTCAAGGCCATCCTTTTGCTTTGAGAAGAAGTAATAAAGTGTGGAGAGTGCTGCCAGCAGAGACAGAGCTGGACCCTCAAGCCAGGTATCTTTCTTTCCACCACAGGGCTCATCCATTCGTCTGTTTGCTTTTCCCTCTTCTTTCTTTTGGAACCAAGCAAACAGTGCACCCAGCTTCCGTCCTAGTCGGTCAGGCTGCAGAGACAGTTCTAGCCTGGTGAGTCATGTTAGCACCTAGGGAGATTCTCCTGCTTTGATTTCAGGCTTCAACACACTTCACAAAAAATAGCTCAGGGGCTGCAAGAAGGTCATTAACTCTGCTCTTTCCTATTTATCCTACTGGCATGTTCTCATGAAATGACCTCCTATTTTCCTCTCTTTCTCCTTCCCTGCCTCAAAAAAAAGAAACATCCCTGTGACGTATGGAAGGGTGCCAACATCAGCCAGTGCATATATTAAAGTTTTAAATCAGTTATTGTTCTAGTACACACCCTGGGGTTAAGAAAGAGAGAACATCCAGGACTAACAAACCTGATTGTTCTGGCAGAGTTGCCATTCGATTCACGCTGGCATTTCTTTTTCATTAATAATCCAACCTCATTAAAAAAAAAAAAAAAAGTTTATGGCTCAAGTAGCAATTTTTAACGTTCCTATTTCATTCAGTTTCTCCATGAGACTTCTACCTCCCAGTCTCTTGAGGGTTTCCCAGGGGGCACAGTGCCCAGAATGTGCTTAGTTAGTTGCAGAGACAGCTGTCAATCTGAGAGTGAGTTCATTAGACCTGGATTATTCCTCATTTACTACCTTCTGAGCAAGGGAGAGACTCAGAATTGGGAATGTGAGCACTTAACAACTTGGCATTCTTAGACTGAGTAGAAGACTTAATCGTAAGAGTTAAGAAACCAAATTACAACTATGTATAACATGGTGAATTTTAACTTAACAACTACTCAGAGTTGGACCTAGGAGGGTATTCTGATTAATAACTGCTCTAAATAAAATTCCAATAAAGTTTGATGTGTGTTTTTTCTTTCTAGGCAAGTACTGGAAGTCGGTAAGGATGGTGGCGGTGCCAAGGGGCTGTGCTCTGCCTGGGGCTCAGCTGCAAGAGGAGACGGACACTGTTTCTGCCCTGGCTTCCCTGACAGTAGATGTGGAACAGCCCTTCGCTCAAGAAGACAGCAGGTATGGACCTAACATGGGGGAATCATTAAGGTCAGTAATATCCAGGCCCGTCGTTAATGCTCATGAACCAACCTCCAGACTTCTCTTCACCTGTCTCCTCCACTTCCACCACCTGTCTTCTCCACAGCCACAGGTGCCACAGCACATGCTGTCGGCTGTCAAGAATTCATTCATTTGTTTCGTTCTTCATGGGAAACACAGAGCTGGAGCATGTGGTTGCAGTTCACAGAGAAATGGGAGGGGATGAGATAGATAGTGAGAAAAATCACTTCTTGTTGGATAATTTAATGCAGGTTATTATGGAAAGAGCTGCTTTGAGGGCTTACCTTCTATCCCTAGTTATCTCTGTTTTTCCAGATGTTCTTTTCGTTCTCTCATCATCTTGAAATTACTGATATAACCAACGGAAAAAGAGAGAGCAGAGCTGGAGGTATTGCTAGTCAGTTGGATCCTCCACATACATACAAGCTCCTTATATGACTGTCCTTGAGGTATTAACAAGATAAAAGTGGAAGTTGCCTCCATCTTTGATTGGAATCTGTGTAAAGGAAAAGTGTGGACTTGAGTCTGATTTTATTTTACACTATGATCAGAAGGGGCTGATTTCAATTAGTCTTCATATGAATGCATATAGCTTTCAGGGGAAAAAAAAGGTGGACCAAAAATTGGATTTGCTTAATTTCCTTTTAAGAACTGTTTGTCAGTTTATGCATTTTGGTGTTCACCAGCCTCTCCTACAGACAATGCTATATGCAGAATTTCTTTTCAGCCTACTATGACCAAAGCCACCACGAATGTCCATACATTGATATTGGTGCTTTCTATGGCTGACTTCAAAGTCCCATTTCCTCAACTTAAACACGAATCAGGTGAGGCTTCGCTAAGGCTCTGGCAGCTTGCACTTGAAAATTGCTTCTGAGAATGAAACTGGACTCCCTCTGTAAATAACATCACCATTAATTACACAGAACCTGCTACTAGTACATAGATTGGCAATTTTCCCAAGAATGCATAAATTTGAACAGTTTTAGCTTTCTTTTACTGAAAATTCAGTTTAATGGATTTAACATCTTGTTTTGGTCAAGAGCAGGAGATACGTCGAATAAGAGATTTCACTTTTATGCACTTATTTTTTCTTACCATAACCACTTAAATAACAGATTACCAGTAGGAAAAAAAAAAAGTTGCACAGCATTGTATTAAAAGGCATCATCATACGGGCATCTGGCACATAAGGGAGAACTTACTCTACGTCTTTGATAATATGAACTAACCCCCTGCTGTTCCCAGCTAAGAACTGAACCAAGTTCATAATCCAAAGGTGTTGCAATTATTCCCAAGGCCAAATACAGTTAGTTTCTGTCACTGGAGGGCCATAAAACTGAGGGAACTAGCATCTGTTAGTGTTGGACATGAAGTGAGAACAGCAATTCTCGAGAATTCACTTAATATGGAGAAATGAAGCTAAATTCCAAACTGGGTGAAATGAATTGTAAGTAATTTTACTCATTAAATTGCAGAGCTTATAATAATTAAGGATAATAAGGCCCTGGCCGGGTGGCCCAGTTGCTTGGAGCGTCCTCCTGTACAATAAAGGTTGTGGGTTCCATCCCCAGTTGGGGTGCATGTTGGAGGCAACTGATCAATGTTTCTCTTTCACATCGATGTTTCTCTCTCTCTCTCACTCTCTCACAAATCAATAAAAGCATATCCTCGGGTGAGGATTAAATGAATAAATAAAATTATTTTTAAAAAGTAGAATAATAAGTCATGTTAGGAGCCCCAGGTAATGTAAAGGTCTGAGCACTTTGGCAGGAATTAGCTCTGGACGAGTGTGTGTTTATCCAGGTAGACAGCGTGCCTGACTCCTGCTAAGCCACAGGGACTCAGCCCTGGCTTCGGTTCACAGTGGCTTCTGAGCTGCCTCTCGTGGCGGAGAGAGCGCGGGAAAGGGAACGTTCTGACATACAGGGAAACAGAACTGACACGGGTGGCTTCAACTCATACTTGTTTATCAGTTTTAGACAGATTGTATCCATTTTGATTGGTTTTTCTTGTGGGAAGGAAAATGCTTCCCTCAGGAAATATTGTAGGAATATTGCTTGAAATATTGTGTATGGCGCTGAACTCGCTTTTTCAGCAGAGGGAAGGAAGACTGGTCCTCGAGCTGGCCTTTGCATTTCTGTGGAACCATGCATGGGTTTCGTCAGGGAGGGCCCGGCGAGAGAAACCCTGAAGGCCACAGAGTATTCCTTCTTCTCTGGAAAATGCACCCGAATCGTGCCCCTGCTCAGTTCAGGAAAGGGGACTTTCAGATAAAGAGGAGGAAACGATCCCGGGCCTTTGTCATGAATGCAGCATTCTAAGTGTGCAGGAAATTGAAAAATTAGGAAAATCAGAGAGCTAGATGGATGGAAAAGGGTGAAGGCAAGATTCTTTTTATAGGATGTTCTTGCCAGTTATTTTGGAGGATATATTGGTGTTTGGAGTGAGATGACTCATTTTGTACTAAGATTTTGGGTAAAGCAGCTCTTTTCCTGGCCAACTCATATCTGACTCATTTACCACTAGTGAATAAGGGATAAAGTGCTCCTGGCTAGGAACCATTGTAAGTATTTTTTGTTCATTTTTCTTGGATGGGGGGACAGGGGGTGGAGATGACAACACAGTGCAAAACAGTCATTTCGTTTTTATAACTCATTAGTGGACCATGAAGAATAAATTATTAGCAAACATCGATATGTGGGGATTCATTTTTGGGGACAATTAATTGAAATACAGTTTTCAAAACCTAATTTTCAGGTGGCAAAGGACTTGAGTGGGGAAAAATGATTGGTGGATCAGCAAAAAAACACACCACAAAAACAAAAACAAAATACAAAAGCAACTAAGGGGGCAAGTTATATGTCCAAAGAGTATTAAGTAGATAGGCCTATATATAGCATATTATTTTTTTTAAAGAACTGTAATATTAAGAGGGCTTTTGGTTTGCCAAGAGACTATACCTTTAAAAGATTATTATTTGTATTAGTCGGATATGTGTTTCAAATACTTCTACTGTGAAAAGGTCAGTGCAGTATTCAGGTTTATTCTTGGACACCCGTTCAGGATCTGCTGACAATCAAGAAAAAAAATCTCTGTCAAGTAAGACTTCAGGATGTTCCACTATTAAGTTATTGGGAACGCACTGAAAGTTAGGTTTCAAATGTGAGATTGACCTATTGATGATAGTGTGGATCGTGTTATATTTTCTTAATACAGTCTGATCTGGTTGTTTAATTAATCATGTCATCTTCAAATTTGGGCAACTTCTCTCATGACTGAGATGGGACAGAAGCCTGAGGAAATGTGCGATGCTGAGTCTGGCCATTTTGTTTTTGAGTAACTGTCTTATTCATGAGTATGAAAAAAGTGTAGGAGTAAACTGAAAACTCCCACGTATACCTGCTTTAGCTCTGAATGGCCTATCTGTAGTGCCATGGACATATATAACCCTGTTTTCCTGGAGCTTGAAGGCTTATGTGGAAATAGACCACTGTTAGAAATACGCACTCACGTCTGACGTTTAGAAAATCAACTTTGTTTTCCATTCTTTAAGAGTGCGTCTCCAAGGCTTCTAGAGGCTAAAATATTACACAAATTGTGCAGGTTTCTGATTTTTCTCTAAGATGCCATTATTTTGAGCACTTGTTTATCTGACTAGGCAAACATACCAATATAAGTTTTATTAATTTTTCATCCTGTGCCAACAAATCCTTAGTTGAAATGTGGGCTGAGATTTGGAAACTCCTGGTTAAAGGAAGGATAATCTGTCCCTTACCGTCTTTTCTACCTCTTCCTGGGACCATTTTTTAATCTTTGTTTTCAGTGCTGAACTGCAGTCTTGAGGCACATGTGAAGCCCGACATAGTATATAGGGATTAAATCCAGTGCCCAATTATGTATTCCAGAATTTCATTCTGAATTCCTAATTAAGAAGTGTTTAATTTTGAAAGAGAAACACAGTTAAACTGAACCATAACTAAAGTGAGATGCCTAATAACTTGAGTTTCCCATCATCTCATCTTAGTCTGTTCTCTCACAACTGTCATCTTACAATTACAGAGGAAGAGCAGAGTGTGACTCTAGAATCAGCTGGTCTAGATAACAATCTAATCTCCAACTTAATAACTATGTGGTCAGAGACAATTTACTTATCTTTCTGGGCTTTATTTTCTTTGTCTTTAAAATGAAGGGAAAATGTCATAGGGTTTTGAGGGTGAAATGACACAAATACATCTTAAGAACTTAACCCCTTGACATACAGTAAGCACTTAGGAAAAGTTGGTTTTATTACTGTTTTCTATCATATTTCTTCTTCCTCAGTTTGCTCTACTTTTCCCACCTTTAATACATTGTTCATCACCCAGTGATCTATAACACCAGAATATAGAGGCTGTATGTTTAACTGTTCATCTGTATGTTTAAATCAATAGGATAGTCATTAAAAACCAGAATTTGACAAATAATCACTAAGCAATAAGTTGGCTCAATTAACTAATCCATGGTTTGCTGACTGAAGAACTTCCACAATGCTAAATACATTGTAGGTAATAAAAAAATCCTTATTGAATGAATGAATGTATCCAAAAACAGAAGGCAAAACATTTAAAAAATGGTAACATAACATTTTGTGGTGATACCTGAGCCTTTCTTGTCTTTATTATGTTTTCGAGGGAATCGGCATTTTTATATTTTTATGAGTTTGCAAAATGTGTATTATACATTTATTTTCTTTCATGGTACTGATTGACAGTGTCCCTTTTCAAATATGAAATGGGCATATCCATAGTACTAACCAGAATCCATATCATAAACATGATTTACTGAGGAAACATAATGAAGGAAGGAGGGTGAGGTAAAGTGTCTGTTTGAATGGAAAATGGAATTGTCTTTATGCAGAGAAAAAAACCCAGGAGTGATGCTGGCAGATTACAGGATAATCCTCCAGCTTGCAGAATGAGGCGGAAGATCATCCAGTTTGTGCATTCTTTAAACACTTTCTGATTACTTTCTATGTGTGAAACAAATGTTGGGAGCCAGGGTCACAAAGCTTCCTTGCGTCCTCAAAACATTCACATACTTGGGGACTGTATTAGTTTTCAATTGTTGTCTTAAAAAGTTACTACAAACTTAGTGGCTTAAAAGGACAAAAAGGTCAGAAAGCTGACACAGGTCTCTTGGGCTAAAATCATGAGGTTGGAGGGGTCTGGTTCCTTTCTGGAAGCGGTAAAGGAGAATCTGTCTCTTTGACTTTTCCAGCGTCTAGAGTCTGCCTACATTCCTTGGCTCATGAGCGCCTTCCTCTATCTTCAAAGGCAACAACTTTATATCTCTCCGACCTTTCTTCAGTCAGCACACATCTCTTGTAGTGAAGGAAAAAAAGCCAGGAAAACTGGCTTTAAAAAAAACAGAAAGATTCTCTACTTTTAAAGACTCCAATTATTACATTAGACCCACCAGGACAATTTAGGCTAATTCTCCATCTTAAGATCCTTAACCTTAAGCACAACTACAAAGTTAGTTTTGCCTTGCATGGCAACATATTTATAGCTTCCAGGAATTAAAATATAGATATCAACCAACTATATTAAGTGACAAGTCATTTGATAGATTGAGCTGCAGAATTAAAGAAGACCTAACATAGACCAAGAACTGGGGACCGAATCGCAGGACTGGGATAAAAAAGCCAGGGTGAAAAAATATGTAGGATTTTACCTAGTAAATGAGAAAGAAGACATCCAAGAGGGAAACAATAGCTTGAGCAAACCATCTCTCTTTTTTTAAACATCTATTGCCATCACTCAGTCTAAAGTACCTTCATCTTTCATCCAAATTCACAGTAGTTTCCTTACTAATTCCCATGTATATTTTGCTTCTTTTCTAATTAATTTTCTAC